CAAAAAAGGCTTCCATTGCCTTTCTTGTGCTAGTGACTGATAATTATGCAGTGACAACAAATATATTTTCTGGGTCAGAAAGGGATGTCTTTATGTAATGATGGAAACTTGTATTGAGCCAAACAGTGGTCACATTGCTAGTAAAATAGGTGTTAAGTGAAGCATGAACAATTTTAATTACTTTCATCTAGCACAGAGAGGGAATGAACTAATTCTACACTATTTTCCCTATGGAAAACTCTTACTGTAAAAACTACGCAACACATCTATATTTCATATCTATTTATGTGTAGCCCTCTTTGTTAATACACAAAAATAAAAGTTAAAGGATATTTTCTTTCACATCCCAAGTACATAAAAGCACTGATTTATTGACCTGAGCCTGATTTTGGAAAAGTGTTTCAGATTAAATTAATGATGCTTTTTTCTCTCTGCAAACATTACAACTATTATTAACCCTGCAGTAAACGGTAATAGAAAAAAGGAAGAAGCCAAACCCTCTGGTAGGCGTCAGCTGAGGGTTGGTTTGTTGCTCAAGTTCCATTTAATTGTGCTCTCATGTTCATGTGGTGCTCTCAGAAGGGCTCAGCTCTGGCAGCCTGGGCTGGCTCAGGGCTCTGTGCGCTTGCGGCGCGCTCAGCGCTGGGAGCCAGGCTCTGCCAGGATGGAGAACTCTGGGCAATCAAGGCTTGACTACTATGTCTCTTATGTCCACTGCTATAGTGTAGGTTATTCAGCTATTTTTCTGCATGCTTGTTTCCTTTTTAAAGTGGTTCTGTCATTGTATTCTGTTCATACTAAGCTCAGTTTATTTTTATGTTGAAGTGTCAGTGTAGCTGTGAGGTGTTTTACTCTTGTAGTTTTCTTTGCTCTAAAATAAGCAGATAGTAAAAACATGTTCTTTGCCTATATATTTAATGGTTTATAGGAACGTTTTTAGAGTCATAGGCTTCCAGGATTGTGAAGCTCTGAAAGCCTAAGCATTTGGAATTAATGTTTGTGGGTTTTTTTCCAATTCTAGTGAGTTTATATAGCAATATACATAAATATACAGCATTGTTGTAAAGTCTGTGAAGCAAAGTTTGCCAGTGTCTTCCAGTTCCTGGTATCATTTTAAGATGGCTCAGAAGAGGAACCACTGGGTATTTTAGCAATTGGAAATAGTGTAGGTGACACAGATATTATTTAAATAAGGGTATTGTGCTTGCACTTCTTGAACTAAGCTTAAACTGCATCTATATGTAGGTTGAACCATATCTTAAAATGGTTGTGGACTGAGTTGAGGTATATGGAAAATTATCTTTTTGTAGTTCCAGTATTTATGAGCATTTGAATTTTTTTCTGAAATTCATGACTGGAGTCCTGCATTATACACAGATTTCTTAATATAAGACATATATTTTAAATGGTGTTACTCTTTTTATGCATACTGTAGATGTGGGAAGTTGATTTAAAATCTTTTTGGCATTTGTTAAAAGCAGACTTTTCAAAATGTTTACATGTTTAACTTCCAAATGTTTTGATGTTTTAGTGTGAGGTGCTTTTCAAGCCCCTTAAGGCATAAATAACCTGTCTAGTGGTACATTTTTTTGTCATTTATCTTTTTTCACTGAGGATGAGGGACTCCTACATTTCTGTTATTTCTGCTTTTGAAAACACATCTGTATTGTCTCAATGGTCTGTGAGAGACAGAAGCATCAGTCATTGTCTCTTGAGATGTTATTTAGGACCCAGCACTGGTGTATCTGTGCTTTGTGCCATCCAGAAAACATTGCAGGTGCTGTTGTGCCTCCAGAGCACAGCTGCACAGAATTACCATGTGCATCTGAAGTCATTCTGGGCATTTATGAGAAAGCCTAATTAAAGACAATCTTGGGTTTTGCCTGTAATTATGTTGTTCAGCATTCTGTGTCACTGCTTTGCTAAGTAACCTTTGGACTGATACTTCTCGTCTTTCTCTCACCTACAAGACAAAAAAGATGAAGCACGGAAGGAATCAAAAATTAAATTTTGGATAAACAGTGTGTCTGAACAAGAAATAACTTCTTTTGCAAACTTCTAGTGAAATCTGTAGAACAGAGTTAGAGCCATGATCAAGGGCTGTGAGGAAGTAATTCCTCTATAACACTCAAATTTGACTTTTTAAATATTCATGATGCTTCAGCAATGTGGCACATCTTGAATCTTTATATGTAATAAAAGTGTTACGAAGTTCTACTTAGGGCAAAAGCCACCTCTTAAGAACTTTAGCAGTCTTAGTGAAAAAGAAAGAAGCACACCTCTGGCAAGGGTAGACAATTCACTGTCCAGGCTCTCTTTTTTAGACTGATCTAATGAAGAATTGTCCTAACAGTAAGAGCTCAGAATGAGCATTTGTATCATTGTGTGGTGCTCCCTGTCACAGAAATGTTTCTTAGATTACTTAGAACGCTGTTGGATTGCACCAGGTAAAATGAGACAGCGAGTGGGAGCAGTCATTTTGAGGAGGGAGTTCACAAAATTATTGTAGGTCGTTCATTAGAGCAAATAAACTGAGGAATATTTCAATTCTGGAGACTGGTGTTACTTGAGAGATTCAGTGCTGGCTGTGAGTGAACAAAGCTGCTGGGTTTGATGGAACTAACATATACCTTTGTATATAGTGAGCCAGGTTCCTTTCTTCCCCTGCTGACTGTGTAAATGCAAGAGGTCTGTTCCTTGGAAATGAGTACTGCTGGAGAGAGATGAGATGATAAAGGCTGTCTGCTTTCTCTTGAGTAAAGGAGGGGTAATTCACCAAGAAGTAAGCCAGAAGGCAGTTAGAAATGTAATCAAAATTAAATTACTATTCAGTGTGTTGCTGTCAAACACGTGGCTTTTCTCAGCTTCCAGGCATATACTTGTGGGGCTTTGCCACAATTTGGCAGACAGGAGTATGAGCTAGTAGATTTTGTCAGAGTTAAATTTTGTCTGATGCTGCTCTCTGACAGTGCTGTGTTCACAGAAGGACTCAGCTCGAAGGCAGCCCAGGCTGGCTGAAAACTCAGAGCTTTTGGGCAGTTTTAGAGCAGCACACTCAGCCAGAGCTGAGAGATGGGCTCCTCTGGACAATCAAAACTTTGCTGTGTCTCTTATGTTCAGTGCTGTAGTGTAGGTCTATTCAGGTATTTTTTTGGATGCTAATTTCCTTCTTTTAGCAATTTTAAATTTGTATTCTGTTCAAACTATGCTCAGTTTATTTTTATGTTAAAGTAACAGTTGAAGTTGTTTTCTTTTCTTTTTGGTTCTCTTTGCTCTAAAGTCAGCAGGTAGTGAGTGTGAAGTCAAAGTGGCTCTTGTAGCTAATGGTCAAATAAACAAAATATAATAGCAATCCTCTAGTAAATAAATACTGTCTTTGTCTCTGCTAAGTAAATAGACACCTCTGGTCTTCCACTTGAATAGCTGTACCTTAAAGTGTTAATTTTTCTCCCCTTTAGCACCTTGCAAAAGGATGACATTAGCAACCTTGCTGAGGTTTTGACTGTGCAATTAGCATAAGAAGTGGGGAAAAGCACAATGTACTCATGAAACGAGTACTGTATATTAACTCACTAGTAAATGATTTTTAGAGTCTTGTTCAATTATAGCATAACTCTGAAAGTTCATCCCTGAGGAAGAAAATGGAATTGCCAAATAGATGTAGATATTAAAATTAGTCAAGCACCTTTTTCAGGAAGGGAAATACTGGAGTGAGTGAAACCTGAAGTGGAGCCTGTAGTAAATCTACACCATTAAGGTTCAAAGCTTTTGGTTCATCCCTTTCCAGGTTCTGATTGCCCACACTGCATAAATGCCATTTCTCCCCAGCAAAGAAGCTGTTTCTGTTTTGAGCAGAAGTTTTGAGTGTGCTCCTGGGAATGTGTGAGGAAACAGCATCAGTGAGACCAAGCCATGTTTGGGGTCCTCCAGGGTCTCTCAGCTCCTTCTGCAGCCCTGAAACACACAAAATTCTTTACACATCTTCATGCTCCCCCCAGGGCAAGTAACATGCAATGTCAGTGCTGTGCTGGGACAGCCCTCACATCTCCTTCAAAAATGCTAAAAAAGAATAAATCAGATTTTTAGATCCTAATAAAAAATTGAGCCAAGTGCTGTGCAGGATTTTTAGTAGTGTAAGTGTAGTGGTAAGTGAAGGGTTAAACACACACACATCTTGGATTTCTTCTGAACCTGATGAGATAAAAGAAGTTGCTGGAAAGAAAGAGATTGTGTTTCTTGCTTTGGACCATAACAGCCAGAATTAAATCAGGAAAAATGTCTCCTTGTTGAAGGAAGGCCTGTACAAAACACTGAGTTCTTGGCTGAGTGGTGTATGATGTCTCTTTCCTCCTGATGTGCAGGTCTGTCCAGGACTGTTTCACCATTATCCCTTTTCCTAAATGTTGCTTGTGGTACCAAACTTGAGAGGAATATGAAGAGATGTACACCGAGCCTCTGCTGCTCCAACTCAAAGGGTTTCTGTCCTAAACTGAAGCTTTACACCAAATATCTGCAAATCATAGTGCAGTGCAGATGAGCTGGAATTATTTCACTGCTTTCTTTTCCATCTGAGCTCTGCTAAAATTGCTGTTGCTATAGCAAAGATCTCCTTGCGTTTCTTTGTTGACACAGGCTGCAAACATGTTTTGGACATTAAATATACATCTCATTGAAATGCATTTTATTATAGCTCTTGCTGATTACTTACACCTTTTAATAAGATTAATTTTTCTTCTATTGGGGTCCATAAACATCAGTGGTGTTTTAGTCAGTGTCTACACTGTGAGATGATAAAGACACGATCACCTCAACAGGGTGGTACTGGAATATATAAAACTTTTTATTAGTAACAGTAAAGGAACTTACAGCAAGATGCATCCTCTGTGGATGTCAGGATACAAAAACTGTTAATTGTCCTTTAAAATAAACTTAACACCTGTAATTAAAGAGCAAAAAAGAATTTGCTTTCCTAATGTATTATGGTATTGTCATTGATTTAGGCAGGACTAAGGACACTTCATGATATTGGCCCAGAAATACGCCGAGCTATATCCTGTGACTTGCAAGATGATGAACCAGAGGAAAACAATCCAGAGGAGGAGGAAGATGTTTATAAAGTAATGTCAGAACACAACCATGTGAATTGTTTTTTGTATAATATGAGAGTAAAGAGTGACCTTATCCTTGAATATGAAATAATATTATATTAGTAATACTTTTAAACCCCTCAAAACAGAACATATAAATATTTTATAAATAAGTATATTTTATGTATAAATCTATAGAAATGGTAGTAACAGGACACTTGCATTTCTTCATAAATTTAGAAAGCAGTTCCTGCAGGGTGGTTCTCCTGCTCCTAATTCTTTCTCATTAATTCTGAATTTTTCTTGAGCAAATCCTATCAAAAGGCATGAACCTTGCCATCTCAAACTTTGATACTAGCAAGGCTGAAACTGGTATTAACCTCTGCAGTGGTAGATAGGAAGAAGAAAATGAAAACATGCTAGCAAAGTACAGCAGACAGGGAGTTGTGTATTTTAAAATGGATGCATGGGTTTACACAGAGGTCGACTAAATATAAATGCCATTTCCAGTCCCATGAGGGATCTCAGTAAGAATCAATCAGAAAAAAGATTTGGTTTCCTCATTATCCTATTTAGTCCTAAATGGTGAACGTGTAAATTTGGTGTTATAATCAGAGGCAGTCTGCAAACCATTTGTCAGCCAGCAAGAAAACTATTTTTTCCCAAGCATTTCATAAGAAGCAGATGTAAAATCATGTTTCTGCAGGAATTACAGCAGAAGCCCCGTAGCTTGCTAGCGTCCTTTGCAAAAAGGAGGACGTGGCACTGGAGACAGTGGCTCAGCTGCCATCAATAGATGCATTTCTCTGCCAACCATCATTACCTCCTGTCTTCTCTAGATTGAGCTGCAACTCAGACTGCTGTCATCCAGGACCCACACCTGGCTAGACAGGGAGGCTCCCTAACCTGGGTCAGGTGTCCAAGAGAGCTGCATGTCATAGTCATAACTTAGCACCTCATCCTCCCTTTCACCATCCATTACACCCCCAGGGCTGATGAACAGAAACTACTCTTTCTTGTACCACTGCGAGAAGAAAGAATGGGAGCACTGAAGCTGAATGTTCCCTACCGGGGATTTGCTTGCAAGCTGTTGCATGGCACTCCATCCTGTCTGAGTGACGCCTGCTGCAAACCGGGGCTCCGGGAGAGCAGGACACAGCTCCACCAAAGCCTTCCCAAAAATTCAGCAAACACGTCTCTTTCTGAGGAAGCTGGTGCATGTTCATGTATGGGAATCTAGGTTTCTCCTGCGTAATAAAATGTGGAGAAAGCTGGATGTGTCACTTTTAGTTGTGTGGAAAAGAATAACGATCACGGCATACTGTTTATTTATTGACTCTGAAATACAATATTGTCATCACCACAATCACATCTCTGTCACTTCAGGAGATCCCATCTGAAGCATCATAAAATTAGAAAGAAAAATCACAGGTTACTTGAATTGCTACTTTTCTATGCATGTAGGAGAGAAAAGTCAGTTGTCACTGTCAAGAGCATGTTCTGTTAAGATACCTGATATAATTTTTTTCTTTCTTTTCCCCTAAAACAGAGGAATGGTGCCCTCTTTGGCAACCACATAAACCACATTAGCAGTGACAGACGAGATTCATTTCAGCAGATCAACACCACACACCGTCCCTTACACGTCCAGCGGCCTTCAATTCCCTCTGCAAGCGATACTGAGAAAAACATGTATCATCAGGCAGGAAACTCTGTGTACCACAATCACCACAACCACAACTCGGTAGGAAAGCACGTTCCAAACTCAACAAATGCCAATCTCAATAATGCCAACGTGTCCAAAGTCCATGGAAGACACGCAAGTTTTGGAAATCGTGAGCATAGATCTGAAAACAGTTACCGCTCACACTCCAGGACTGACCACGAGAGGCGCAGAAGGCCAAGCAGTAGGAGGTAAACTTAAATACATCCTTGTTTTAAAATAATTTATAAATACACTATAGGAAACGTAAGCTAAGTGAAATTAATTTGAATCTTCATTTCTGTTGCCTACTGATGTATGAGCTGTATTTAAAATCTAGCTCTGATGAATGGGAGATGCATTAAGATTCACTGGGGTTTGAAAGTAGCAGCTTTCTTTAAAGTGAATTCATTAGTTACAGCACAGACATTGTAATCACTGAAGAATTTCTCTAAATGACTTGTTCTTAAACTATTTTTCTCATTTTCATGGCCTACCTGGATAGAACACGCTACTATGAAACATATATTAGGTGAGTTGATATTTTTATGACATAATTGGACAGGGAGTTTTTCTTCTTCCTTTTTTTTTTTTTTCTCCTTTCCTGTTTCATTTCTAAATTAACTGTATAACAGTGCATATGCTCAGTAACTTAAGTGACAATTTTTAAGTCAATTTTTTTACTGCCCATTTTAAAAGGACAAACTTCTGGTGAAGTTCAAAATTATTCAAGTCCTTTTGAAAGTCCAGGCAGGTTTCTGCAGTTTTCAACAGGCTAAAGATCACACCTGATTATAGCCCTTGTTAAAAATTGACTTACCAAGACTGGAAAAAACCACTGGTGATAGCTTTGATAAGTGTTAATGTGTACATTTCCTTTCATAGGAGACCCAAAATCTTTCCTAATCTTCTGTCTAAATATTTTCTAAGACACTTTTTAAAATATAGGATGGATTGACTGAATTGAAGTGCATTGGTAAATGGGTGCTCAGTGGTGGTTTGAGTGTCTAGATTTGCATATCCATTTCAGATTTGTTTTTGAACACCTCAGTGAGAATTCTTAATAGCTGAGCCATTTGGCAAACCCCAGGCATTGGAGAGAGGCAGTGTTTTTCCAAATGACAGTGTGTATCATATAAAAATATCTTGAATGTATTTGATTTCACTGAGCATCCTTTTATTGTTTTTCTGTTGTACCACAAGGAAATAAAGAAGAAGCAGATACATCATTCATGTTCTGAACTGCACTGCTCTGCACTGCTGTAACACCACATTCTGAACTATAGAGCTGTTAATGCTTGTCTTTTTCTCTTCCTCTTTAAAGCACATTAAAGGAGCTCTGTATACAATAAACAACATATAAATGATAAAAATAGAAAAAAACCCCCACTATTTGGTTGCTGCTTACAGATCTGACACTGGTGATGGGCGCCAACCTACGATTCGCAGGGAAGAACATGAAGTCCAAGACTATTGCAATGATGATCATTATTTGGGAGAGCAGGAGTATTACAGTGGAGAAGAATATTATGAAGATGACAGTATGTTGTCAGGAAACAGGTGAGGATATTTGTTCCATAAAATGTTGTTGTTAAATAAAAATATTTGTTAAATAAAATAGCATGCAAAAATATTCCAGTATTTTAGGTACACAGATGTAAAGGCTTCATTAAGTACATTCACACTGCAAATTCTCTAATTAAATTAATACTCCACAACTGCTGAAATGGGAAATGATGAGTAGGAACAGAGAGTATTCCAAAGATGATTCCTTTCTACTGAATACATTCAGTAGGATCTCAAAAATAATTTCCACTTCAGTCCATTTTTTTAAAATTTTCAAGTCTGGCCCAGAAGTAGAGGAATTTATTGCAATTTTATCTTAGATGCAGAAGTGCATATGCTCAAGTGCCAGACATTCTTAATTCTCCTCCTCCTTCTCCTCTACATTCACCAGCTGAATTCTGGTAAGATTGGCACCCTAATCTGCATTTGTGTTGGTTTGCATAAAAGCTGAGATTTGCATGAAAGCTAAATTTTACAGAAACCTCAGGTCACTAACTTTTTTGTATGACAGTTAGCATCAAGTAACACCCTTCCAAAATCTAATTTTAAACATGAGAATATCCAGAGTGTAAGAAGCTTAAATCCATTCTGAGCTTCTGCACCTTAACCAGGGTTCTCAAGAGAGCATGGCAGGACTAGAAGAGAGTATTTATTTTATTTTTTTAAGCAACTGAGGTCTTATATTTCTGCCTGTACTGGTAAGATTAAATTAATTGAAAATACAGTATGATTAAAAATTTAGCCTAAGTATTGACCATGTAACTTTACTAGTACAAAAGTATATGCCTTCTCTCAAAATCTTACAGAAATTGGATTTTAAATATGAGTTGCGCAATTACAGAATGCAGTGGTTAATTATCTTCCCGGAGAAAGAGTAGACCTGAAAATTAGAAGGAAACTAATTTTGGAACTGTTTACAAAAGTTCACTGACAGAATATTTTCTTTTTTGATTTTTAATGCAGGCACAGATATGATTACCACTGTAGATATCACTGCCATGACTCAGATTTTGAGAGACCAAAAGGTTACCATCACCCACATGGTTTTTTTGAGGAAGATGATTCACAGATGTGTTATGATACAAAAAGATCTCCTAGGAGACGGCTGCTACCTCCAACACCACCACGTAAGTACATTCAGGACAATTTGCTTGCAAATCTGAAATAATTCAAATGCATTCAGACAGATTCCAGTTTAAAAAGGCTTTTTAAAAAAAACTTGGATTTTAAGCATCTTATTTCAGATTGCCATTGGTACCTTATTTTGCTATCTGAGGAACAATGCTTAAAATTCTGCTTCTTCTGAGGGAGAAGATGTTTCAATTTATAGAGATAGCACTGTCAACAGATGTTTTTTCCTGTTTCTTTAATTTTTATTTCTTCTCTTCCTTATATCTGTATCCCTTGGTTTTTCCTTATCTCAAGAACAATATTGCATTATCTGCATTTCTACATTTCTTCTTATCTACATTTCTTCTTATCTACATTTCTTCTTATTCTACATTTCTTCTTATCTTGTAATTCTGTCTTTATGTGTTCCAGGCCCTAGAGCAGAGATTAGCAGTGCTAATCCTCTGGTGAAACCAGGCACAGACTCAACATTCTTGGGTTTGGTCTTTGACCTCTGACCCTTCACTGAGAGGAAGTCCTTGGGGTGGCACTACAAGTGCAAAAGCAACCTCTTTTTAAGGCTTTTTCTTGTCTCAGAGATTCTCAAGTGTATTGAGATACTTTTATATCTGGGGTACAGTCTCAGACTGTTTAAAGCTACAGAAAGCAGTGGTAAAAGGCAGCAGCAAGATATATTTTCATACAATAAAGGTTGCATTCTCCAGCAATACTGCCAGTATTAGATCCACACTTTAGGCTCCCAACTCCTTATGACAAGACTGGCAATGGTCTCTGCTGTTTGGATTTCTGCCCTGAAGGGGCACAGGGGCAGAATGAGTCTAGCACCACGGAGAGCAAATAACAGCTGAGCAATAGTGAAGGGTACAGAAAGCTCCTGTCTTTCAGTAGCAGAAGGGAAATACATCAGATGAAGGAGAGACTGTGAAAGGAGACCCCTGAATATCTTTCTACAGACCTTTCTGATAGCAGAAGAACTTTAAGCCAAAGAAACAGATAGATGCTTTGCATATCCATTTCACAGATTGCAGGAGAAAAGCTTTCATACAGAAATTTTCTTGGGTCTGCCCATGAAAATGTTTTGAGTGGAGGGTTGAAGGTTTCCTCTAACTGCAGTCTTGGAGATAAAGTTTTAATGACAGTGTTTGGCAGTCATTTATTTAGCGGAAGTTACACTTTTTATCTCATCTACAGGAGACTAGGCTAAGGTACTAGATAAGAGTATTTGTTATCCTAGGATAAGAGGACGTAGTTCTGATCAAAGTTGCATAAGGGTAATTTAGGAAATCTTTGACTTTCACCAATGTAATGGCATAAGAGCAATTGGTGTCAGACCTCCTGTCATAACCATTTATTTATAACTCCGGAAAAGAGGTGAGAGATTTTAGCAGCTCAATATCTGAGCAGATTTTAAAAGAATTTCAAATCTGTTATTTGTAACTAGTGTATGGCCTGGGAAGAAGCCTTGATCATCTCACATAAATAAAGAAAGAAAAAGAAAAAAAAAAGAACACGCAGCATTGCACTAAACGGTTCCTGCTAGCATCTGATTCAGTCCATGTGAACATAACACCCAGTGCTGTCAGTAAACTGAGCTCTCTGTTAAGCTTTCTGGATGTTTCTATACCAAACTCATCTCACCACAGGACTTGAGCAGCTTCCAGAAGTGAGGAATGATTGAGATTTTCTTTCAGCCTCTTCTCTGCAGAGAAGCATATGCAAAGAAGTGCCTTGTTTTGGATGAAGGGACTTTTTGGATTGCATTTTGGTATTGGTACATTTAGCATATTTAGGATCAGGAGCTAAGGCTTGCTTTCCTGTATTTGGATTTGCCATAGAGACAAGGGAGAGAGACACATTTTGCATTAGTTAGACAGTATCACCTTGTGGAGTTGCCTATTTTAGTTCAGTGGCTCTTTGATAGTATCCAGCATGAAGTGTCTGGTGACAACTGTGGGGTGCCATAATTCCATGGCACTTCACTTGGTACAGCCAGGTTCTCTCCAGTGTCCCCCTCCGGTGCTTGCAGCTGTGAGGGTTGGTCTGGATTTCAGCTGCAGCTCAGTGTCCAGGTTTTCTGTGCACTGAAGCTGGCACAGGGGAAAGGTACCCACATGCTCTGCAGAATGATGCACATCATTCTGCAGGCTTTCAACAAGAACAGCTGAAACAGCTCCACATCAGCCAAAACATCTTGATTCAGTTCAGCGTTCTACTTTTTCTTTTCTATCACGAAAGTGCACGTAACAGCAGGGACAATGGAGGATTGCTGTCCTAAGCAACAGAGTAAACATCAGGAATTGATAACCTGAGTTGACTTGGATATAGTTTTACATACTGCACATTGCTTCCAAGGAACTGGAGACTTCAAATTTCCTTTGGGAAATCGGGTTTGTTAGAACCAAGCTTGAAGCCATGGGGAGGAAAGAAGAAAGTCACAGCAGTTTATGGCAAAACTCTGTAGCTGAGTGTCTGAGCCAGTCAGCTGTATCAGACAAGCTTGTTTTCTGAAGCAGCTGCTTCCAATTTTGTCATGTTAGGTTGCTTCTATGATTTCTACCTTGGACTGCTTTTGCTTATGTGATTAATCTGTCCTTTATCTTATAACCAGCCATATTCTATTAGCACAACTTGTTTCTTACTGGAGGACCTGTTTTTATTTGTATCATAGTTCACTGGCCCTGGAATTCTGGAAATAACAGACTTTGAGAAAAATGTTTAGTTTTTCTAATGAATTATTGTTTCCCTGTAGCACATAGACGATCCTCCTTTAACTTCGAATGCCTCCGCCGACAAAGTAGCCAAGACGACATTCCACTCTCTCCTAATTTTCACCATCGCACAGCCCTGCCACTTCACTTAATGCAACAGCAGGTAAACTCAAACTCTTCCTTAACTAAGAGTGAATGACATCTTTCCAGCCTCCACACTGCACTCCCGACTTTTACTGCTGTTTGAAGCAGTACCAGTGTAATGTTTGCTAGACACAAGGCTTCTCAAACATCGACCTTGTACAAAACACAGAATGAGTAGCCTGCCCCTTTGACTCTGAGTGTTCAGAGTCACCATGCCCTAAATTTTGACCAGGACAGTATAATACAGCAGCTGTCTATTATTATTTACCTATCTCAACTCCATTTGTTACAATTTGCAAGTACAAGATAGACACCTTCTGAGGCTCAGTGCCCAGCTTGGAAAATGCTGTCAGCTTCCTATCCTGCCCTGGACAGAAGGAATGTTTCTATACTTTGTTTTCTTTAATATATTGTATAAGCAAAAAGATTTAGTGATATGAGTAAAATGGAAAAAATACCATTTTGTTGTGTCAGTTTACCAATTTCAGTCCCATTCCTCTGTTACATGGCTACTACACATCAGAAAATGTTAACTTTGCTGCCTAAATAATTGGTTTGGGCTAACTGCTGAAGTGAGCAATGAGTATGACTGAGTATTTGAAATCATTAACTTTTAAAATTCGTTCCTTTACCAGGTGATGGCTGTGGCAGGTCTGGATTCCAGCAAAGCTCATAAACATTCACCGAGTCGTTCAACGCGTTCCTGGGCCACCCCACCTGCCACCCCTCCCAACCGGGACCGCTCCCCCTATTACACCCCTCTGATCCAGGTGGACAGGGCTGACTCCACAGAGCACATGAATGGCAGCCTGCCCTCCCTGCACAGGAGCTCCTGGTACACAGATGACCCCGACATTTCCTACAGGACATTCACACCAGCCAGCCTGACCGTCCCCAACGACTTCAGGCACAAGCACAGCGACAAGCAGAGGAGTGCAGACAGCCTGGTGGAAGCGGTGAGTGCCGCAGGAGCCTCTGGAGGAGCCAAGAGTCTCTCTGTGAAGTGTTGGGGTTAACTTTTAAAAGTGCATGATTATACATGTTTACTTTTATAGCCACAAATTGGTTTTATGTAAAGAGGGGAATTTATTCATAGCTTCCATGTAGTAAAGGATTTCTACTGAATCCAGATCTTCATGTTAGCGAGAGATTTATCAGAGAACTAAAGATATTTCAGAATTTTGAAATCTTAGTTTTCTGGATGTGCATCAGTTCTGAAGTATCCTTCCACAATAGCAATAAGAAATTATGTATATGCCTGTTCTCTCTGTTGTTTCTATAGAAATAAATCCCCACTTTTACAGTAATCTGAATAAAAGATCAAAAAAAAAGATAAAAAAACCCCTCCATGAATCAGTGTACTAAGTGCAGAGAGAAGAATAACAACTGCAAGGATGGATTTGTAGGTGCACTAAAGGATGCTAAGAATTCTCTTTTATATTCAAAAAGATTTGAAGATAAAGCGTGTGCAGCATTTCTGATCATAGTTAAGGTTGTAGCTTCCATCCATCACTTCCTTTCCATTGCTGTGAGCTAAACAACACATTTTGTTATGTTTTGCAAATGGGAGTTCAACATCTTTTTTCCATGTACTCTAAAGTACTGAGAACATATAAAATTCTGTATTTCAGACAGTTGTTCTAACTGCACCATCTGAGATGTATTAACTGTTGTCTTTAGTGTATCAGCCTGATGAGTGATGTTTAGCAAAGACTGCTGCCAAATCTCTAAGAGAAGTGTCAGATGTAGTGCAGCACCACTTACATTACCACACACCATGGTGGGCTTTGCAGACTTTTCATTGTTGATTTAATTGGTATTTACCTGTACACTTTGGCTGTGGGTTGCTCCAGTGATTCAGCGTGGGGTTTCTGGTGCTTTCCATCAGTGAGCAGTGTTGTGATCTGTCTGTTGTTCTGTAATTCCACTGAAACTGCCTCTCCCCTCCCTCTGCCAGGTACTTATATCTGAAGGCCTAGGAAGGTATGCAAAGGACCCTAAATTTGTTTCGGCTACGAAACACGAGATTGCTGATGCATGTGACATGACTATTGACGAGATGGAGAGTGCAGCAAGTAACCTTCTCAATGGAAATATCAGCAATGGGACCAACGGGGATATGTTCCCCATTTTAAGCAGACAAGATTACGAACTTCAAGATTTTGGTCCTGGTTACAGCGACGAAGAGCCGGAAACGGGACGATACGAGGAAGACTTAGCTGATGAAATGATATGCATTACAAGCTTATAGTATTTAGCAAGGAAAATGTTCTAATAACAGAAAAAGTGCCTCGTAGTTTCAAGATGCTAGGCACTAGCTGGAGTGAATAACCAATCCAAGTTTTGTATGAGTGATGTCACACCTCAAGGAAGCCATAACTAATAAATTTATTATCTCCAGGTTGCCGAAATGTGAACAGAGCTGCGGTAGGTCCAGTCTCCTCCCACAGAGTCTTCAGTTCCTCTGTAGGAATAAGGCTATTTTGAAACCAAGCAGATTGTGACAATCAGTTTTTTGAGGGCTAGAGCAGGATTCTGAGGTGTAATATCTTGCCTGTCTTTCAACCTTGTGCTGCTGTCCTTCCTAGTAGAGCGGGATTTTGTCAGTGACAATGTCTGTAGAGGTCTGGCACAGGATTGTGTGGGAAACAGCAACATGAGATGAGTGATGACAACCAATAATGTCATTACCTCAGTGCTCAAAGCATATCAGCTACCCATTGCATATCCATTCTAACATTGTTTTCAAACTTGCCTCCTGATTTCTTTTCTTAATGCTCTTCTAAATTACAATTTGTCACGCTCTACCTGTTAGAGATCGTTGGAAAAAGAAGTTATATAAAGAATAATCCGTCATATGTAACATCAGTTTACATAGGAAAATATCATTCAGATGGTCTGTTTTATGACTATCATGTTAAGGGCAAAATATACTGGAATAATTGCATTCTTACTAATGCACTTGCAACCAGGTTATAGTAGAATTAGATAAGATAGTTTGCTAAAAATTATATAGTAGAAAATATTGTAAATTAATTGTAATATACAATGATTTGTATTTGTAAAGAGATGTTCTATATTTTGTAATTATTGTACCGTAATTGAACTGCAGCAATATTTATGGACCCTAATTATTGTAACTCTCCACAGAATTCTAGATAGAAGTATTTTTACTTGGAATATATAGATCTATAGCATAAATATTTAAATAGAGCCACCTCTCAGTGTAAATCTCTTTTTGGGATAAAGTGTCAAGTTTGAACTTGGCAACAGATCAGATTTTTTTAAAAATAATTGAATCAAAAGAATCTCTCTGCATAAGGGATGTACCGTTGACTACTCAGTCTTATACTTGGAAAGGTAAAAAATGTAAAGTAATTTCAACTTTTTTTTTTTCTTTTTTTTTTTTTTTTTTTTTTTTTTTTTTTTTTTTTTACTGAAAAGTGAGTTTTAATTTTATTTTTGTAATAACCCCATGCAAAAAATCCCAAAACCCAAAGACCTTGTCAAGTGCATGCCAGGGTATTCCTGGTCATGAGGCAATTAGTTTTGACAAAATGTAATACCTACATACCCTAAATTGACACAGGAAATATCTGAGGCAGAAAATACTTCACAGGTAAATGAAAATGCTTTACTTCAGTACTATTTACTCTGCTTGGAATGAGAAGAAATGTGATAGTATGATTCCACACAGAACCAAAAACCTTGATATAAAAAGTATTTTATTGCCTCTACCCTTCTGTTGTTCTATGTGTACTGTTTCAAAGATTTATTTTTATGCAATCAAGAGAGGGCTTCGATATTGTTCACAATGCAGTAAAATCCTGAAATGTCTTTGAGGCTGAAATGACCTTGGAGGATAATTAAAACACCCTGAAAGCTACTATCTATTTTGTTAGCACTGGATAACAATGACTTGTTCTAACAAGTTATCTTATCAGGTTTTACCTGTAGTTCCTATGCTAGATAGCAATCCAGTTCACATTTTTACAAATGTGATGTTTAAAACATGTCAATAAACATTTTGTACATAATGACAGTTTCCTATGAATAGCTTACAGACTTCCTCTGAAATCATTCTTATTTCAAATGCCAGGATAAGAACTTAAAGGTTTGTAAATTATTTCTTGACCTACATCATTTTGTATTAAAAACAAATGCAAAATGTTCTTCAAAATAAAACTGTGTAATAATTTTATTATACTTGGGAGTTCTTTTACTAATAATTTTTCACCAAGAAGTTGCAAAGGTTAATTTTCAATGTTATGAGAATGGGAGGGAGTGTGTGAAATAGGGTATCAGTCTGCAGTATCACACTGTGCAAGTCTTATTTGGATGGTTGCTGTTAACCACAAAGAAATAAAGCAATTAGAGTATTCATGTGCCAAAGGGATTACTACTTCCCTAAAGACAAACCTATGGAAATGATTAGGAAAATTTGACTAAAATATCTGTAGCATCTAAATAAATTTTCCATGCTGTCTTGGGAAGCTCTTGGGTAGGTTACCCAGCAATATTCACTTTGTTGCACATTCCCAGCTTACAGAAACAAAATCTGGGAGGCCAAAATGGAGCTATTCCTATGAAATAACAATGAGTAGATTTCAAAGTCCTACCTACTGTGGTAAATCCACTTCTGATAACCACCTTCAGGGCAACTGAAGTTAAAATTTAAAAAAAAAAAAAAGAGGAAGGCAATCTCAGACTTGTATTTTGTCCTGCATGGATGTTTGATAGCAGGTCAGGTTTAGCAGATTGAGCAGGGTGACAGGATTTATAATTAGTGATTTCTCCAAGGAGACAGAAAACAATATGCTGACCTCACTGTATTTTCATGCTCTTTGTCCTCAGCCTTTAGCAGTGAGATGAGAGAGTCTTTAAGGCGGATAAGAAATTTTATGAGAGAAGTGTGTGCAAAAATAAACAATTAAGGAAATTTAGTTGCAGACCATGATCTACACAGTTATTGGCTTAGGGGAGAACATTTGTATAGATTCAAAGAATACTTGTTCAGTTTTACTACAGAGATATGTGGTAACAAGTAATCAATATAAACATAATTACATGGTAATTGGCACCCTTAGAATACTACCAATCACAGTCATTAGTACAAAAAAACCTAGAAGTTCTCTCAAGAATTAAATTATCATTTATGAGACTCCACATTTGTTTATACATATATTTAAGGAGAGAAAATACTAGTGAAGAATTAAACACTGGTAAGGATTCCACAGTAAATTCACTGAAAAAATGAATTTATAAAATATATTCTTATTTGAACAGTTTCTTCTGTTAGATCTTGGCTGAGAGAAAAATTGATACTAAAAATTATGATAGTGTAATAATATATACTTGTGTTCTCCCTCTTAATTTTAACTATAATATAAAAAGTAATTACATTGTTATTTAATGATATATATATTATTTATTTATGCTTTTTTATTCCTCAAAATCTGTTTCTATATTTATTTTATAGAAAATGTGTATTCCAAGCCCACCTTTCCAGTGTTCATATAGCTGCCTAATTTGGTTACAGACCAATTGGGTCTTAGACTAATTGAAAGCAGGCACTTGGAAAGGATTTTAAGGTTGTGGTGTACAAAATCTTACAGAAATTAAATACAATGCAATTTTACAAGTACTGATATATTCTGCTACTTTCAAAAGCACTTCTCATACTGAAACAACTGCAGCTGAAATGTGTGTACAGAAGAAATGTTTTTGGTCACTTTTCTTTCTTAATGTCATTGTCCCCAGCTGGAGACCTTCAACTGCCTGAGCATCTGCAGCAAGCCATTTCCATGGAGATGCTGGTGTTCTCTCTTGCAGTACCATTGCTGGTCCAAGCCATGCTGGCAGGTCTAATAATTCTTGAATCAAACAGCTTTTACTGTTAACTGGTTTTGAACACATAATATATTATCTGTATGTTTATAGAATTTATATATGAGTAGAATTGGGAATAATTACACTATTGTGCTAAGCAGGTAAAACTGTGGAATTACAGCCTGTGTTCTGCAGTCCAATATGGGGTAAAAGGTGGTTAATTTTATTAACTCATATCTCAGCTATGAGACTGCCAGTGTTCCTCAGGATGTGTTAGAATAACCTAGACCTGTTCTAAGGACCCTTTAGCAGACTTGACTTTGCTGCTGGAAGTCAGAGAAATTTTTAGCAGGAATTCAGTATCAGCAACCAGATACAACACAGGAGAAACTAATGGTAAATTGATGCTACTTAGATTTCCCCAGGGCAACAAACCCTTCAGAACTTCATCAAAGGGATCTCATGAAGGAGCCTCAATGTTCTGCAGCAGCAAGGCTGGAATTAATAAAGCAACTGCAGTTCACAGCAGTGAAATTGTTTAAGTGTTTAGAAGGGGAGGAATCTGCAAGATGTCCGTGCTTAGAACTGCAAGAAAAGATGATGATGTTTCAGAGGAAATGCCTGCTAATCTGATTTCTCAGTGCAGCAATGTCTCCTGAATATAAGACAGACACATGGATACTTAACCTTGCTATTTACTCCTCTTTTTAGAGCTTGGCGTAAGAGCAGAGGAAAGGCCTGTGCATGTTCAGTGGTAAGTTACATAAGGCAGTGGCTAGTTAATCATCTGCAGTTGCATAATAACAATTCCCACCTTGCATGCCTTGAGTGGAAACCCTCGCTGTAATTCTGCAAATGCAGGAACTTCAGTGTCTCATCTTGCCAAATCGCCTCCCTTCTCACCCGTGTATATAACTTAAAATATCCCAATTGTATTCCAAATGACACTAGAACTTACTGAATGTCTTTAAAGAAAAATATTGCAAGCCTAAGTGGTGAGAAAGAATAATTTGCCATTAGGAAGTACAGAACAGTTGCACCAGATGGATTGTCTCCTTAACTCTGCTAATTGATCACCTATGATGTGAAATATTCTTGTTTCTCCCCTCATTTCAAAAGAAGGCGTCACATACACAGAAAGGGTTTACCTGTCTCTTTTGGAGAAGAGTTCAGTGCTGTCATCTTCCATCTTCAGTGGTTTTGTTTGTCTTTATGCAGATGCTGTAAGGAATTAAGTCCTTTCCTTCAGCAGAGCTTCCAGTCAGTGCCTCACAGAGAGCAGGTACAAGTATCTGTCTTAAACATCTGCAGTTGTCCCTCCAGCCAACATCTGAGTCAGCAAGGTTTTCTACAGTCTGTTAAAACGGTGTAAAATTCCATTCTTTCTTTCTGAAAAAATGCTTATTCTCTTTGCCACAACTCCTGAGCAATCTTAGGCTACAGAAGCTTTTACTTTATGATTTGACATCTGCTTAGTCAGAAGTTACTTTGGAATACTTAATAAATACAAAATAATCAATGGAATTACCTTCTTTCAGTGAGTTCAGTTTCTTTAGTTTATTTTTTTAAATCAGTACCTGACAGTTAGTTTGATACCCAAAACAGCCATGAAAGCTCAAGTATCTTAATTACACATCTGAAAATTAAAAAAAGCAAAGCTTCAAGTCCTAGCTAGAATATAGCAGTTGTTCACTGAATAAGATATTTACCTTCTAATTTAAAAAGACCTCTTCCCACATCATCAATATCTGACCTTATACAGTTATTTTGAGTAACATTTCATTTTAAATATAGTCTGCTTGTAATTTTTCTAAATAAAACTTGAGTGATATCAAGGCACCATTCAAAATATTTACTGATAAATATCTTTTGTAAACAATCATCTGAGCCAAGACCAGTCACTTTAAAGATGTTATAGGAAGGGCAGATCTCTTACTGCTAGAGTGGTACAACTACATCAGCTTAAATTGTGAGCAGAATTCTACTAAGCTCCTTGTGGGGAAAAAAAAAAAAGCAAACCAGAAATAACAATTTTCCAGTTGATTTTTATAAATATCAACTCCAGTTCTGCATTTTTTTAGCAAAATAAGTTTCCAATAAATACACTGTGTCTTCTCCCTGAATGCTATACAGTTGGAGACTGCTGAGCTTAGTGAAATCTAACTTTGAGTGAGGATTTGTAAACCATGCATTCCTTTTGTAAAAACTACATTTGACAAACTCTGAGCACATGCAGGTTCCTCCATTTCCTATGAATTCTGATACAAACTAATTCAGCTCTTGAACATGAAGTTCAGATTGTCTGAATTCATCAAATAACAAAATCATTTTCAAAATAGCACACATCAATCTCTTCCATCCCTTGTGCAATCATGTGGTATTTCTCACTGATGTGTATAAGCATCTTGTCATTTAGAAACAACTTCTCTTCAACAGAAAATTTGAATTTACCACAAAAAGTCATATTTAACTAGATTTATGATTCTTGGAGTGGCCTGCACAGGGCCAGAACTTGCACTCAATGATCCTGATTGGTCCCTTCAAACCCAGTATATTCTATAATTCTAAAAAA